CTCTGGTGTGTGGATGTCTGCCCATATAATTATCAGATCCGTTAAGGTTATAATTGGTTTATCATGGAAGTCATGCCTCCATATATACAGACTCGTATATATTGGTAGCATTGGGATCTGGACCTGTGCTCTTGTCCAAGGTGAACAACAGAAAACCGATCCACCAAGAACATTGAACTGCATCAGAATAACTTATTTACAAATCGAAGAAAAACCGACTGAAACCTCGTGGCACCAATTCGAAGAAAAACAGTGCAGGGAGCGGCTTATTTCATTTTCCAAACTGTTGACGAGTGTAATTTAAAACACTTTTAAACAACAGACTTCGCCAATAAACAAAACCAATTTACTGCTGGTAACCAAAAACGGGGAAGCACTGTTTAATAAATTCAAGTCAGCGAAAATTTGTTTATGAGAAATGCGCTTTGCGGGGAAAATCCCATTTTTTAACTGGAAATGGAAAACAGTTGGAAGCTAAATATAAAGTTGAACACATATAAGTTTCTGTTAGTAAATATAGGCAATTAATAAATTGGTTAATTATCTAAGCAGGAAAACAATTACGTGCTCTAAACTCACTTTAAAACTGAGTGAACTAACTTGTCTAATAAGCAGCAACAAAGGTATTTATTACATTCGAAATAAAATTTAATTTATTTTTTATTAAACGTTTGGTTGAATTGCATTCATATCAAGAAATTATAAATACATGCCAATTATTTTCAGTTACGTCTGTTTAATATCAAGGTTAATTGACCAACTGCGCGGTTTCTATTCTCATTTATACGTTTTAATTCATTAAAATTAATTAATACGTAATGTTTCTATTTTTTTTGCAAGAGTTTGCTTTACTTTGAGAATTTTCCACTTTTGTTACGCTTGAATTCCCAAAGGGTTTTAGCACTCAAAACAGGTTTTTTATCATTAGTTTTTTAATGGAAACTGAAAGAAATGTAGGCTAAAACTTAAGAAACCTGTTTGTTTTTTTTAGTTTTGCTAAATGTCGTGATAATATTAAAACCAATTAAACTATAATAACTATTTAATTGTAAATGAGAAACAAATGAGTTTGATATGTATTTTAGTGATGTGTATTTTTGTTGAGTGGAACTCTGGGAATCGAAGTGCAGTTGTGGAGCGACGACGACCTATGCAAATATGCAAACAAGAGTCGTAAACTAACAGCAACAAATGGCCAGTAGAATGGGATGTGATGCTGTGTGTGGGGTCTCTAGTGTTCGAGTATTCTGGTGTTCCAGTACCAGGTACACCTCCTCTCCACTTTCGACCCCTTCTTTGTCCAGTTTCAGTTCCACATCCACTTCCACTTCCATTTCCATTTGCCTGGATATGTCAATTGGGGATTTGTTGTTGCGGCTGTTGTCATTGAACTTTGTGGATTGTGGACAAGCGATTGAGTGTGTTGTTGTTGTTGTCGAAGAGAGGAAGGGAGACCATTTAGATGCCGCCTCTCTATCTTGCATTCCGTTTCCCGTACATTTATATGTACACTTCTCTCCATAAATCAACGCTAACCAAGCGACATGTGAATTCAACAACAGTTGAATGGAACTCAAACTGGAACTGGAACCAACTTTAACCTCGTTTTAACCTTATTTTCCATCCCCCCCTTGTTGCTTTAGTTGTTGTTATTATTATTATTATCATTATCATCCAACTGCGTTGCCCTTCGTGGTGCGTTGAACAACTGAAGCGATGGTGGATCATCACGAATCCCCCGGGTGGAGTTCATTTGTGTAAAGTGCCAATTACCTAAAAAGTAAATAAAACAAAAAACAAAAAACAAAAAAAAGAACCAGCAACAGAGAGAAACCGGCAACAACTGAAACCCATTCGAGAGCCACCACGCAGTGACTCATGCAGTCGAGCGTTGAAAAAAAGGCAATTAAAAAGGCAACTCCATTGCCAGAAAGTACAAAATGGCCAGTAAGATGTCGACAGTTGTCGGCGATGTCACACACTCGAACTCGAACTTACTACATATTATTGTTATTGTTAAACTTATCTCGCATCTTGCAAGTTCACTTAAAACGGGAACAAGATTCTCCTTTTTTTTTTTTAAATAAAAAATGCCCCGGGTAATAAAACAGCGTTATAAGACAAGCAGTTAAATGTTTTAGTGTTTTTAAAAAGTGTGAAAGAATAAATTCAATTAGCTTATATGCCAGAAAAATAACCGAAAATAGCAGTTACCTAATGGTTATCATAAATAATATTTAACAATATTTGATGGTTTCTCAAATATAAATTTATAGTTTAAATTGCAATTTAACTTACTGAAAAATGCATTTTTCTTGCTACTTCTTTTGTGAAGTGTTCCTCCCACAAATCGTCGGTTATCCAAAAATGAGTGTGTGGGTGCATCTATGGAATACATTACATCCCTCCTCCAAAACTCGTTTCATCTCTCCCTACCTTCTCTTTCCCCTTTCCTCCCTTTCTCCCCTTTCTCCTGGCCATTTGCCAGTCATTGTAATTGTTTTTGCCTTTGGCCCCCGACCGTTTCGTCGCTTTAATACGTGACTTATGCCTTGGTAAATTACTTAACACTTGCCATTCAGTCAGCCAGTCAGTCTCAACTGCATTATATCGACAATAGCAAATGGCTGCATACGAAGCAGAAAAGAAACAGACACATCAGGAGGCAGTACGAGTAGCAAGCGATAAAAACAGTGCTCAACTAGCTTAGCTCAGCTATCAACTATCAGAAATGTCGACGGCAGCTGCTGGAGGAACGCCAAAAGTGCTGGACCGCTGGGAAGTCGGCGGAGCTTTTGATTGCCAGGCGACAGTTGGATTGGATTAGCAATATGTGCACCGGAAGAAATCAGAAGCTCGATACGAAATAGCTCGTTCCGTTGGCTTCCATAGTTATTTTCAGATAGAAAACCCAACTCCGTTTACCCATAATGCAAATCTTAATTTAAAATACGTTCTAACAGGGAATTTCAACTAGCATTAGCTTTTAATGTTTATCTCTTACAAAGATTCTGGGAACTGCAGTAAGCTAATTGGCATTAGAAATAGACACTGAAAACCAAATCCCATTACTGATTTGTTCACTTATAGGTGCATATACTTTTTATTGATTTTACAACAATATCATTTATAAATATCAAATTAATCTCTTTATATTTATAGCGCTCAGCTGAAATCTGTTGCGAAATGATATAGACAATCGTAAAAAAATATGGGTTGAAATCAGTTTTTGTTTGCGTGTGATTGATGTTGGTGCCGAGGAAGTTGTCGTTCAAACTAAAAATGTGTAACGTGTTTGAAGCGAAACTGAAGCTTCGAATTGAGGGGGTTTAAAGGGGGGAAATGAGGAGGAAGAAGAGGAGAAGGGGGTGGGGGAGGGGAAGGGGGAGCGGAAGCGGTTGGGCCAGCAGCTGTGCATTGGGAAAACCAACCGCCGACAATCGCCAATCGCTAATCGTAAAATCGCCATTCGGCGGCGGACGCTCCATTGTGGCACGTTTCGCATAAAAAATAAAAAATAAAATAAGATGGCAAAACCAACTGATAACATTTAAGCAGTTCTTGGTCTCGTTATAATAAAGCCAAACTTCCCCAGCTGTAATCATCATCTGGCGCTTCTCGAATTCCAGCAATGGCATCTTGGTTCCACCGAGCGGTTCTCAAATTCTTTATATACTACTCACTTTTTCGGAAATGACAAATTGATAAATCTATTTAGCAAAGCAAACATAATTTTTGATATTTTATGAACAATAATTGCTTCTCTACTTGTGTTATTTTCTTTTTGGAAAAAAAAGTAATCTTTGAAATGCTTTTTATACTTAAAAATCACGAGGCGATCGCATGTTATAATTTAAAATATCACAAAAATATAATAAATAGAAATAAAACAAGAAAGGAAGCTAACTTCGGCAAGCCGAAGCTTATATACCCTTGCAGTCATCAAATATGTCGAACAAAATCCATAAAGGCTAAACAACATCGAAGCTATAACGATTTTTCTATTCATTTTCCATATTTCCGACTATAGATCATATGGGAGCTATATGATATAGTCGTCCGATTTCGATGAAATTTTATTTGTTATTCAAGAGTCGTTAGAAAACTCTATATTCCAAAAATCATGATTTTCTGATGAGAAATAACGATGTTATCATTTTATTTCCGTTGATTCTATATAGATTTTTCGATCTTTCCTATGGCAGCTATATGATATAGTTGTCCGATTTTTATGAAATTTTTTTTATAAATCAAGGCTAGTTAAAAAACTTGATACTTAAAAAATCATGCTCGTGGGATAAAAAACAACGATGCTGTCAATTTATTTCCATTAATTCTATAGGTATATATTTTTCGATCTCTCCTATGGCAGCTATATGATAGAGTTATCGGATTTTGTTCAAATTTAATACGAAATTCAATTACAGTTAGAAAGCGCCATCTTGAAGAATTCAAGTCGATCTGTCCAAAAACAACGGCGTGAGCATTTTTTATTTCATTCTCTCGTATGGGAGGTATCCGATATAGTCGGCCGATCCGGCCCGTTCCGACTTATATACTGCGTGCAATAACTACACACATTTTGGGAAAGTTTCAGCGAGATAGCTTTAAAACTGAGAGACTAGTTTAGGCAGAAACGGACAGACGGACAGACGGACAGACGGACAGACGGACAGACGGACAGACGGACAGACGGACAGACGGACAGACGTACAGACGGACAGACGTACAGACGGACAGACGTACAGACGGATTTCGACTCAGATCGTGATGCTGATCAAGAATATATATACTTTATGGGGTCTGAGGTGTCTCCTTCACTGCGTTGCAAACTTCTGGCCAAAATTATAATACCCTTTGCTCTGCAAGGGTATAATAAATAGATATATTTTTAAAATGATTACAAAACAAATAAACATGTTACAATATTACAGCAATAAATATTTTTAAGAACACTGAATTTATGTTAAACCCAAATTTTTCGCTTGCCTTCGTTGCAGATCAACCTAAGGGGCATCTTGGTGGGCAGTGCTGCCAGCGGCGTGGGCGTAGCAGGATCAGCAGGCGGAGGAGTCGTAGGAGGAGTCGGAGCAGCGGCAACGACGACGACGACCGCCGCTGGTGGTTGTGGTGGTGGTGGTGGCTTCGTGGCTGGCGGGGATTGCCAGGTGATTGGCGCGGCGGGTGGCGCTGGCGTCAAGCTGCGCAGGCACAGCGATCGTCCCCTGACGCCGGAGGCCAAGCAGCACTCGCACACGTACCGCATCTCGATGGCGAACCTGGAGGACTCGCAGGAGTCGGAGCTGGACCAGATCCTCGGCGAACTGAGTCTGCTGGAGGCGCAGATCAGCTATGGCGAACCGTCCATGCTGCCCGGCATTTGTGCCCCGATAGGCGGCATTCCCCTGGCCCCATTCCCGCCCACTGGGGGATTGGTTGGCGGCAATGCCACCTCGATGGCTTCCATGTCATCGGCGGCTTCGTCGCGTTCGCATTCGCGCACCAATAGCAGCATTTCAGCGGATGTCAGCAGCTGTTCCTCGTCCGGAATCTCGGAGAATGGTCATGGCATCGTTGGTATGCCCATGCCAACGGGATTGATGATGCAACAGCAACAGCAGCAGCAGCAGCAGCAGCAACTGCAGCAGCAACAGCAACTGCAGCAGCAGCAACAGCAACCGCAGGTTGGCATGATAATGGGTATTACGATGGGCGTGGTCACGCCCCGTGAACCGCGCACCGAATCCCCCGACAACGATTCGGCTTTCAGCGATACGGTCTCGCTCCTGTCCAGCGAATCGTCGGCCTCCTCGAACACATCCCTGCAGCAGCAGCAGCATCAGCAGCAGCAAAAGCACACCCACTCCCACTCGCACTCGCACTCGCATTCGCATCATCATCATCAGCAGCAGCAGCAGCAGGATAAACTGCTGCACACTGGCAACCAACAGAGTGGCGCCAATAGCATCTCCAAAGCGGCCAAGATCCAGTTGGCGCTGCACAAGCTCGAGAGCGCCTCCATTCGGCGGCTGTTCGTGAAGGCCTTCACCTCGGATGGGGCATCGAAGTCCCTGCTGGTGGATGAGCGCATGGTTTGCGGACATGTCACTCGCCTGCTGGCCGACAAGAACCACGTGCTCATGCAGTCCAACTGGGCGCTCGTGGAGCACTTGGGTGATCTCCAGATGGGTATGTGGATTACAGCAATGATTCGAGATCAAAAGGAGAACCAACTTCATATACAATTATATAGTTTAAATCAAAAGATAAACCACTCCTTTTGGTCTTAAAACCATTGATTTGAATTCAAAAGTTAAACAGTTTGGCTAATCACTTCATTTTTCCCCCGCACAGAACGCCTCTTTGAGGACCACGAACTGCTGGTTGACAACCTGATGACGTGGAACTCGGACGCCGGCAACCGCGTGCTCTTCCAGCAGCGACCGGACAAGGTGTCGCTGTTCCTGCGCCCGGAACTCTACCTGCCGGGACCACAGATGGCGCCCGGCTGCCAGCACGACGAGCAGACGCGCCAGATGCTCCTCGACGAGTTCTTCGACTCGCACGCCCAGCTGCAGCTGGACGGGCCGCTCTACATGAAGGCCGATCCGAAGAAGGGCTGGAAGCGGTACCACTTTGTGCTCCGCTCGTCGGGCCTGTACTATTTCCCCAAGGAGAAGACCAAGAACACACGCGACCTGGTTTGCCTGAATCTCTTCCATGGCCACAATGTCTACACTGGACTGGGTTGGCGCAAGAAGTGGAAGTCGCCCACGGACTACACGTTTGGCTTCAAGGCCATCACGGACTCCTCGCTCGGCAAATCGTGTCGATCGCTGAAAATGCTCTGTGCCGAGGACCTGCCGACCCTCGATCGCTGGCTGACGGCCATTCGGGTGTGCAAGTACGGGAAGCAGCTGTGGGATAGCCACAAGTCGCTGCTCGAGGATCTCTGCCTGAACCGCGACGATTCGGTGTCGCAGTCGAGCTTCGCGGCCTCCATGCGCAGCGAGTCCATTTCGAGCATCTCGTCGGCGGTTCCCTCGCAGTGCGGCAGCGTTTCCTCCGCCATCAGCAGCATGTCCAACTCGACGAGTGGCCGGACATCGCGTGCCTCCAGCTCCAGTTCGAGCGGCTGCCTCTCCGATGACAACAATGGCTTCGACTCCGAGTTCACCACGGGCACCATCAAACGGAAGCCGTCGATGAAGCCCAACCTGCCGCTGACCACGATGACGCGCCAGCTGAAGGAGGTGGGCGAGATCACGATCTGCGAGAGCGCCGGCGGGGATGCCAGTTCGCCGGAGAGGAGTGGCACTCTGACGCGTCGCCACAGTCGTCGCAAATCGCAGGAGAGCAATGGCAGTGGAACGCTCAAGCGACGACCCATTCCCGTGCCAGTGGCCGCCGTTGTTGGAGTTGGAGTGGGTGTTGGTGTTGGTGTCAAGCAGCAGGTGGAACCGATGGGCGGCAGTGCCTCGTCCACCTCCTCCAGCAGCAACTCCACACCCACACCAACGCCAAGTATTTGTGCTAAACCGCCGCCGGGAGATGCTGCCACTGCCGCCTCAATGATGTGCTCGTCCACGTTGTCGCTGGACTCACTGCCTCCGCCGCCGCCGCCACCCGCTCTGGATGGCAGCGAGGATCAGGACGTGTACGGGTCGCAGCTTTCGCTGGCCTCGCTGCCACCGCCGCCGCCTCCGGAGGAGGTGCTGGCCATGACCTATCCGATGGATCCGCCGAGCCCCGCGACTCCCACACCGATGAGTGCCACTCCCCTGATGATGATGATGATGCCCAACAGCAACGGTTCGCTGCCACCGGCTGTGCCGGCCAAACCGATCAAGCCGGCCGTTAAGCAACCGGCCGAAGCACTCAAAGCAGCTCCGCCCTACAAGGCCCCGCCGGATTATGTGGGTCCCGCTTTGATTCCTGCCGGAGGAGGAGCAGGCGGAGCAGCAGCAGGAGCAGGAGGTGGAGTAGTAGGACCACCATTGCCGCCGCCGCCACCTGCCGCCCAGAAGAAGGTCTCCTTCGCCGATTCGCCGGTGCTGTTGCGTCGCAAAATGTGCTCACCGAATCCCACGCTGCCGCAGCGCTCGCCCAGCACCACGCTGAGCTGCCATTCCAGTGCGGATTCGTCGGCGTATCAGACGTACGCACCCGGACCAATGCTGCCGCCACGCACGGACATGGCGCGACTCTCCTGCCAGAGCAACGGGAGCAGCAGCAGCGAGGTGACGTCGCCGAAACGCCTCCAGGAGTCCGCATCGAATCCGCCGCGTGACTTCCTCAAGGATCTGCAGCGTGTGATGCGCAAAAAGTGGCAGGTGGCGCAGAAGTGCAAGGCCGAACCGGCCACGACGCCACACGAAGTGCTGGGCTTTCGGGATTTCAGCAACGAGGATCTGCTGGCGGCCCACAATTTGAATTCCGGAGCGAACTCGTCGCACTACTATCGCGAAACGGCCAACGTGAGCCACTGGGTGAGGGAGCACTACGAGTACGCGCACAATGCGCTCTACGAGAATGTTCATGCGCAGGCGCAGCGGACAAGTGCCACTGGCGGCACAGAGGCAGTCACTCCCCCGCTGCCGCCTCCACCAGGAAACGCCATTGCGGCGGCCAAGAAGCGTCCGCCGCCACCGCCTCCAAAGAGGAGCGACAAGACGCACCTGACTAATCGGGTGTAGGATCCTCGAAAGCGACGGTAAACCATCTAAATATTCATTAAAGAGGATCGTTGTTATTAGAATTCCTTTGTAAAAAGGAAGTATTTAAATGCGATCCTCCTTAATCAGTATCTTCCGTCTATCTTATTCCATTTACAAACTCTTACTAATTTGTATTCTTTTTTTTACAGGCGAGTCCCGCTCCCCTTCACTTGGATCCTTTGAAATCTCCAAAGGCAGGATTTTCATGCAGCAGCAGAAACATTTACTTGTCTAGAATAAAGTAAAAATTCCTATATAACGTCTAGGCGAAAAAATAGAGCGAGATGAAAATAAGAAAAAACAAAAACTAATTAAACATACATACATGTATGACTATATATATTTTTTAAGAATACGCTATGGCCACGCCCACTTCTCTTACACAAGTATTACATATAAACAGAGAATCAAACTGTAGAATTTGCTTTTATAGTTCAGATTCAAATCACGTCAAAAGTGTCAACAATTTCCAAAAACAATATTTGTAATCCATAAATGATTTCTGAAATTTATATATTTTTATCTCTATGTAATTTTTACAATTTTTATTTTATATAGAAAAAAAAATTAAAAAAGGGTTTTAGAAAACGTTTTATACACGAAAAATCAAATAAAATATATTTATTTTCCATAACACATTTCGAGCAATTACAAAACAAACAAAATTTATTGCTAATTGTTGACACTTTTGACAGGCTTTGATTCTTCGTCAAGATTTTCATTTTCAAAATAATTTTTGGAATATCAACCAAAAAAGCAAAATGCGAAAAGCAAAAGGAATTCTGCATTAGTAAAAATATTTAAGCTAAATTTTAGTTTGTAAAAAGCAAAACAAGTAATGCATTTTAAAAAACGGTAGTGCATTATTAAAAGAACACTAAATTAGCGTCAGATAAGTGAAATGTTTTTAAATATACATGCACTTTTTTTTAACTGTTTAGTTGCTCATAGTATTGATTACAATTTTTTTTTGCGATTATCTTTATAACGGTAGTGAACGTTTTGTAAGCGCATGAAATGCGCTGCGCTAGCGAAGGAAATGCCTTATAAAGCATATAAACCTAAAAGAGGAAAAGCCCACATATACACCTAATATGTACATGTATATTAAATACATACATGTGTTGATCTATCCAAATAATTTGCTGTTTAAAGCGATACTATTCTCTTTATTTAAAATTGTAATTTCACTCTGATTGTTCAGTTAAACATTAATAATCAAATGCTAAGTTTTCAAAAGATTTGTCAAGTTCCTCAATAGTGTTAAATTATTCATTCTCTTGTACTTATATGAAATCACAGATAAAACAGACAGATCAGCCATAAAATACAATTTGTATGTGCAAATCAAACTATTTATATAAAAAGAAAGGCAATAAGAGAAAATGGAATTATTTCTGTACACAAATCAAATATGTAATTCATCTAGTAATTGTAATTGTAATTGTAATAATATATAAATTTATTATTTGGTAAATTTCATTTACGAATTTGTTCAACATATAATTTTTGAAGCGTTCCTATAGGTTCAATTATTATATGCATATATTAAATACGTTCAGTAAAAGCTTACAAACTTTTTGGGGGATACAAAGTTGCCCCGATATATGCATCATCCAATATGATCGATAAATCAATAGACAAAAATATGTATTGCAATCTTCAAATGACCTACTTATCAACGGTTCACTATCATTGATTGGTTGCTAAGTATCCAGTATATATATATATTGATCATTTTTGTAATTGTTTTCGTGTAGTAACTTGTTTGCCATTTGTTTTGTATGTATGTTTGTGTACAGCCAGAGACAGCCATATAAATAAATATAAGCGTGTAAACGTGCCTGTACATCGTGTGTCCGGTACGTCAATAATTTCAGTTTAAATGTATGCCTCTTACCGAAAATAAAAAACATACTCGAGTTAAATACTTTAGATCTTATGGTCCCGATACAAACTGTACATAGGCATAGCTATATCATCCATTATGAAGTTTTGTTACGTTTAAGTCGGCATGTGTGTGCTGCGATCGATAATTGATCGAATCTATCGAATGTATCGACTAAAAATTCGCCTTCTCTATCTCTCCAGCCATCCTAGAAGTGTTCAGACTCCAACCCCAAATCATCACGTATGGGCTATATAAGCTTGCTTTTGTTTCTCATCCAATGTCACACATCCCCATCCCCATATATATATATATATATTTAAATATATAAAACTTTCGTTTTTGAATACAAGAATCAAGCATTGGGTTTATTATGGTAAATTCGCATTTTACTTTCCTACGTATACAAAACTAAAGGGTATTATGCATATAGATCTAGATATAAACATACTTAAATAAAGGAAATGCCAATTTTTTAAAGCTTGAATTTATATGGAGATATTTTTTAGAGACTATACGCTATATATATATCAATATATATATATGGTAGAAACACAAGGATGTGCCATAGGCGCCGTCGTAGTGTCAAAAGAAATGAACAAAACTAAATTAAAAATAAAACCTGCAACATTTTTTGCTAAATAAATGTAATAAAATCTAAATGAACCTAGTCATTAAGTCCAAGATAAAACTAAAAAGATAAATTAAAGTTAAATAAATTTAAATATAAATGACATACATATAACTCATATGTAATTATACGCAAAGAAAAGTGAAATCCAGAAACTCACTCCATGCTTTATATCTATATAAAGCATTTTAAAGATCATTTGTTTGCCATCTTACATATTATTTATATATATTTTTTGTTTCCGTTCGTTTGCTTACATTTTTTCAATTTCATTGTATAAACAAATGAGCAATGAAGAGAAATAAAACAAGGTTCAACTACAAGAACAAGAAATCAAACACAGAACAGAATCCTAATTATAAAAAGTAAGGGAAAACTCAAATTACAGATAAAGCCCCAGATAAAACTAAATGAAAAGACTACAACTGGAGGAGAACAAAATAAGTAAGTTTATAATTATATCGCCGACACATTCAGACATCATTCATATGCATTAACTACAAATTTACAAGTACAGCAAACCGTAAACTACAGCATCTAACTAAAGAAATCAAAGAAAAATTCAATTTAATAATAAAAAAAAAAAAACAGAAATTCTTTGCAGGGCTATTATATAGTGAACAATGTTGCCATTTGATACCATTTTTTCCACAAATAAAAAAACAAAAAACACATTTGATATAAAAATATATATTACTATATATACCTTATATTCCGAATCAAATGGAATTTTTTGTAATTTTGATAGAAACATTCAAAACATATTAAAAACAGAAAAAAAATGAACAAACAACAAAAACTGTGCGAAACGTGTTACGAAAACTATGAGAAATAAATGCGAGAAATGCCTAAGAAAAATTTAAATTGAAAAAGTTATATTTATTTATTAAAGGTTTAAGATGGGAAGAGAGTTGGGGTAAAAGAATATTATAAAAAGAAAAAAATATATACATATTCATTCATATTTAGGAATATATTAGGATTTTATATATTATGCTTTTAAGGATTTATAAAATTCCTGCCTAAAAAGGCTACCTAAAATCTCGATTTCTAAATAAATTCCCCCATAAGCAAATCTTTAGGTTCCGTTACTACAACTTCCCTACTTTTTTTCTGCTATTTTCTTCGTTTGCTCCACTGTACTTAGTTTACTCCCACTTTCAAGTTGAATGGTACAAGCCAACCTTTGCAAATTTACGCATTTTAATGGCCTCGCAGCGAAACTGACCAGGATCGGTGGCACGAAGGATGCCAGCCTGCGCTGCCCCAAAGTCCTGCGACGACGCTGACGTCGGCAGAGGCAGAGGCAGCGACTGCAGCCTCAGTCGACATAATTTTCAGTTTCCTTGCCGCATTTTTAGGGAGTTTTTTGGGGGGTTTTCTGGGGGTTTTTTGGGGCTTGGGGATGGGGCACGCACTGGCTGCCCACTGGCCAAGCAAAAATAAGAAGAAGACCAAGATGGTGAGAAAGGGTTGTTATGCATCCGTGTGTGTGTGTTTTCGGGGAAGGGGGTGTTGGGGTGTGTGCGTGTGTGTGTGTGTGAACGGACCTTTGCTTGGCAGGCATTTTATTTATGCTGCGTGGTCGTTTCTTTGCTTCCCCTTTCTCCTGCTTTCACTTTCACTTTTTATACCCGTTAGACGCTCGGCCAGAGGGTATATTTTATTTGCGAAAAATTATGCAACAGGGGTTGTCTTGATCATCATCAAAAGTAGAGTCAATCTAACCGTTTGATAACCTGCATGGTTTTCGGAAACTATTGCAACTAATGAAATACGGTTTGCAGAAGTCCGAGTAATAAGAGCCCTGATATTTTTAACTATCTGAAATAAACAGTGGGGAATAACTGTCTTAGAAAAATATTTAAAAAAACATCGAAACATAAATTAAGAAAAAAAAAACTTGTAAAATGATTTTTATATTGAATCTCATTTGATTTTAAACCATCCCGTCAATATTAAAAATATCATATAAAAAATCTATCTTATTTACTTTTATGTTTAACAAAATATTTTATATTTATTTTGTAAAGATCCTTAAGTTTCATAAAGTCTTCTAAAACATAATCAAAGTAATCTATTCCAATTATATTTTTTCAATTGTACAGATTAAGTTGAAGAACTCGAGGAAACAAAAAGATCATATTGTAGATTTGTTTAATTTTTTAAAGGATACCTATGAGGTTATACAAATTTCTACAACCCAAAAGTAACTCTCTTGTTGTCCTGTGTAGTTATGCAACATACGAGTATTCGTAGCGGGTATCTGATAGTCTGGTCCTTCGCCTGCGGCCTTCTTTCCTGTTTAAATTGGCAAGTGCCGGCGGGCGGAACGGCACACCCCATTCCCCCTTCCAAATCCCCCTCCCCCATCCCCTTGTCATCCTCATCAACGTATCCTTTCGTATCCTTCAACCCGTTCGTGCGTTTGCTGTCCAGCGACAGCTTCCTCCTTTTGTGGGTGGTTTTTGGGTGGTTTTCGGCCAGCTTTTCCAGCTGGGTGGTGGTTTCTGATGCTGGCCAGTAGGTGGGCTTAATTTAAGCGGGTTTTATTTTTTTCTCAATTCCTCTCCCCGTTCGCTCTCTTTTTTACATGCCTTTCGCTTCTCCTGTTCCCCTTTTATTTTTTGTGTTTTTTATTTGATTTTCCTTCGTATTTTTACTTTTTTCGGGGTGGCTCTCTCTATGTGTATGTGCGTGTGTGTGTGTGTGTTAATCTTGTTATGTTGTCCTTTGTTTGAAATGTCCGCTGCTGCAGCGCTGCCCGCGTCGCAGTCGACGCCAACGTCGCTGCTGTAACTCTTTCGTTTTATTTTTCTATACAATTTGATATATATAATGTAAGTTTGCTGTATTTATTTGTGCGTGTTTTTTTTTGTTTTTGCCTCGTCGTCCAAGTTAAACAATTTTAATTGAATTTTGACAAAAATAGGGAAAACCATTTATTCACGAGAAAAAAGAGTTGGGGAGCTGGCACACGTGTAAACAAATAAGATTCAAAAGGAAGCGTTTCCCATTTTACGGAAAAGTGTTGGGGCAAAAAAAACATCGTAGTTGATCTGCACCTTCTAAAAATGTTTTAAGAGTTTTTAAGGAAAGATATTCATCTTTTTTGAAAGCTTAAAAAATAAATTTGCAGCACAATTTAATGACTAAAATGTTATATACAAAGTTGTATTGTTATCCAGAGGTAAATAAATTCTTATTTGTATGGTTAGATTATGCAAGAACAATATAGATGCAAATTATTAAAAGAAGAAGAATAAGGAATTTAATTGATTATTAAAATACGTTTAGGTTACGAACTTTGTTTTAATAAATTTCGAATTATTTTACATTGTGCTAAACTCAGAAGAAGATTTAAATAAATTTGTTAGGCATAAAAGAGTAGTTGGAAAAGGAATGGTCAATTTTTAAAATTCTTTATACTTTCTTTATAAAAATGTTCTTCTGGAATTCCTGTTTATTATAAGAGCTCTTCTTTTGTTTCGACTTTTTTACTTATTGATCGCACAGAAGAGCCTTATCCTATTGTTTCACTTGCCTGTTCGGTTTTTATCTTAAGACCGACTATGGAAAGTCCTTTGACATAACTTTCCCTCACCGGTGACGCCATTAACCGACCGTTGTCATGACAAATGATGCAAATTTAATTGGGCAAAAAGCATCAGTTTGCCGATGAAGATGGTCATGTGAAATGTGAGCGAAATTGAGAACCGAGCCGTTTGTCCTTTGATATTTAATATGTTTAAATATGCGAAGTCCTTCGAGCATGTCAGCAAAAAAAAATAAAAAGGGGAGAGAGAAAATAGAAAAGAAAAGGACTCGGCTGGACAGGACAGAGCCACACACTCCGAGGTCCCTATATACATAATGTGTGTTCCGGTGGAGCTAGAAACATCAGCAAAAGTCCAAAGCGGAATTCATTCAAACGAAACGAAATGAAACGAATTCAATT